CCCAGGCGAGCACATCATGCCAGATTTGCCTCGAGAAAGAGCAGCCAATGATGATGTGCTGCATGGTTTCATCGGCCTGGTCGCAGAGGGCACATCGGTCGTTGTGTGGCAGGCCATGTCGGGCAATTCTAGCTGCAGTCCAACAACGGTCGAGGTCGGCGAGCCAAGTGAAAATTTTGACTCGAAGGGGCCCCCAACATTTCCAAGCAAGCCTTTGACCCACCATTTGATAAAATTAACGCTTCAGATTGACTCTTACCTCTTACATCTCCTCGAGGTACGTTCTTAGAATTCAGAACTAGGGTTTAGAGTTTAGGTTTCAGTGAGCTCACTTATTTGCTCTTCTTTTCGCTCAAATACTGAAAGAAAACCCACTGTTTTTGCTCATTTATTTATTAATGGCATGTGTGGTGAACCGGTATCCGTGGCACACAGAGATTATGGCAACTGCACCGCACGACCCCAAACAGACGTTCGTTTTGTTCGAATTTCGTTTGTTGGGGTGGCAATGGGGCAGCAGCCGTCCGGATTTCTGAATGCACTGGCCGTGAGCCCAACGCGCGGCCGCATCTTGGCCGCATACATTTTTTTGGGCGCATATTCTATTATTTTCATCAGCGACTTTTTTGATACATTGGAGTACATTCACCAAACCTTGACTAGAATAGCAAGACCCAGAAAAACAAGAACCATAAGAAGACATTTTAAAAGATATCCAACCATAACTTTTCCCGCAAGCTGGATTAGTATCTCCTTGATGCCTTCATTGTTGATCTGCCGATTCTCGATCATGCATGCTTCTTTCTTCTTCGAGTCTAAAGAAGGAGACGTTGCTTCTTCGCATCTAGTCTCATCTTTAGCCTCTATTCTAGCAACAAGTGCACGAACATCTATCAATAGATCGATGTATTCTTTTTTCCAATACCAAAACTTGCATTCTTTCTACACAATAAAAATTTGAGTATAAGCAAAATGCGCCGAATCTGGGAGCACAACCGAAGCTAAACTAGCACTTACCCCATCATTTTTGCACTTGATGAACACCCATTCGGGATGTTCCGGCGTTGTAGACACGCGGCGCACGACCATCCGTGAACAGTCGTCGCACTTTATGAGCGGCAACGGTGCGCCAAAGGCTTTGGGCCAGCATCGAGCCCGGACGACGGCTGTTGGTGTATTTGCCGGCGAACCGGCGACGGGTAGATCCAAGCGGCTAGAGGCGGAGTTAATACCTGCATTTGGCAGGAGGGCGTTACCGGGGCTGTGCGGTCCGTTACCCAGCCAGTCCATGGAGCAGCGCGGCCTCCGGCAGCCGGGTGAGCTCAAATCTGGCCGGATCCGCTCCAAATCCGGCCGTCGGATACGCTGAAATCAGGCGGCCGGGGTTGGGTGTCGAGAAAATGGGGCTGCGACTAGTGTAGGGGGCGAGCACGCGACTGAGCTGGACAGCGACACGACCAAGAAAATGGGCAGCGGTGGCGGCTAGGGACGAGAGGGGAGTGGGGCAGGGGTGCAACTGAAGTGAGGAGGAGAGGAATAGAAAAAGGGACGCATGCGTACCCGATGGGCGGGCCAGGGAAGGACATGGGCACACGCGTGTCAGTTTGGCCGTACACGCGGCCCAAAATTAAACCGAAAATGGGTCCAAAGAGAAACGAAAATCGACATTGGTCCATTTGATCCCACGTGTTGGGCCGTCTGTTCTGTTTGTTTACCCCAAACGGACACAGTCATCTCATTTGGGTCGTGTGCGTTGGACTTGCCCTTGCAACTTGAAAGAGACGAGGGACATGGCGAATTGGTGATGTGTTGATGGGCTGTGAGCTAGCTGTAACCCAAAATGCAGACCTTTTTCTTACGAACGGTCGTCAACTCTCATCATGCTTAGATCGAGCGGTGGATTGTTTCACTGAGATTTACTTTACTTAACTCTGCCAATCTCTTCCCTCTACGTGTTTATTAGCACTTAGCCACTAGCTAGTCTAGGTGCTCTGCCCACAGCAAACGTTGTCTTCCTCGGCACACGGACATGCCATCACGGATTTTTTGTCGAAAAGGACCGATTTGCGAACGCAATTGACAAAAAAGACCATATGCGGATGAATTTGACAAAAAAGACCACCCACGCTGTGACGGCAGGTGCGCCAGCCGACGCGTGGCACCTGCCGCCACGCCGGCAGGCGGCAGCCCCTGCCGCCACGGTGGTAGGCGGCAGCCAGCCGATAACAACTAGCGCCGCTTTAGAACGGAACGACGGGAAGCAGATGGGCCCTGCCGCCTTAGGGCGTGGCGGCAGGCCTGCATGGCCGCTGCTGGTACTGCGCTGCGCGACCCATATAAACCCACACGTACAGCTTGCTTATAGTACACTAGGTGCACAAAGGACACTGAGCTCGTTTGTCACGACGGGAAGCAAAGCATATTTGTGTACGCAGTGAGGCGCACGTGTACGTACTTGCTATGTGATGTGGTCTCTAGTGTAGTTTCTCTTGTTGCATTTCTGGCTAGCCCATGCCTAGCTGGACAAAGTTTGGCCAGTGATGGATGCATGCATCATTCGCAGCACTAGCAGCGGCCATGCAGGCCTGCCGCCACGCCCTAAGGCGGCAGGGCCCACCTACGTCCCGCCGTTCCGTTCTTATACGGTGCTGGCTGTTATCGGCTGGCTGCCGCCTGCCACTGTGGTGGCATGGGCTGCCGCCTGCCGGCGTGGCGGCAGGTGCCACGCGTCGGTAGGCGCGCCTGCCGCCACAACGTGGGTGGTCTTTTTTGTCAAATTCATCCGCATGTGGTCTTTTTTGTCAATTGTGTTCGTAAGCCGGTCCTTTTCGACAAAAAATCGCCATCACGCGGCACGCATGTCCAACAAGTTAGTACGCCTGAGCACGCTAGGCACACCGCTGCCTCCCGCGTCGGCGCCTTCCGTTGTACAGTACTAGCCCGGAGGCGCCGGCCAGTGTGCCCTGCCTGCCGTCACAGGCCGGCCGGTAAACAACCACCAGTCCACCACGCAGATAGACAGGCAGATGGATGCACAGCGCGGCGACACTCAGGGTCTGTTTGATTCATGACTAACTTTGTCACAACTAAGCTTAGGCAAAATGTGACTGTCATAAAAAGTGTGGCTAACAAAATGACCACCACATATGTGACAAGATTTGGCAAGAAGTTGAGTCTATGACATGTGGATCATATAGCTAGAAAAGTGTGGCAAACCATACGTATGACAATGAGCCAAATACATGCCTAAGATATTATGACACGCCTAAGCTTAGACGTGAGCTGTAAACCAAACAGGCCCTTAATGAAGCGTAGATGATGGCGCCGGGGCGTACAAGTAAAAGAAGTTACCGAAAGGAGCATGCCATCCTTGCAAGGCAAGCAGGCAGCTATAGCTTGGACTCACTCATTTTTCACCTGTTGGCTGTTACGCACCGGAGCCACGCAGCTGTAAGGGCCAACTCCAACCGGGCGTTCCAAACGGACACCCAATATGTTTGATTTTGTATATGTTTGGGTCGTTTGGTTTGGCCGGCGTCCGCTTCATGAATGTGTTTTTTGTCTGTGTGTAAAACCGGCTGATCTATTTGGTCCATCTTGATCGTTTTTTTTTCAACAAACATAATTTCATCATAAAAAATAGCAGGTAGATAGCAAAATAAATCTAGCATTTTCGCATAGTACCATATGCCATGACGGCATGCAATATTGCATCAAAAAGATCACACGTGCCCCGTGACAACCATAGTTCATGCATCTTGGCCCTAGTTTATGAAATACAAGGTGATCACGCATTTTGGTCTTGGATGAGCTTTTGCTTGCCCTCAACCAAGCCTTCTTTTTTGGGGTCATTTTGCTCCTGTCGGCCGCCATGATCTTCACTTCCTTCAAGATTAGCACGAGCTCCACCTCCTTGCCTCTTGACTTGGCATTGGTCTCATTGATCTTGAGATTCTTCTTTGTAAGAGATAAACAGAACACGGGCGTGAAGGCGCTCACACGCGACTCCAACCCTAGGTGCCCCCGCATCGCCCCATAGGCGACTCGAGCGACGCCGCCGCCGCCGCTCTGCTAGCCCCCCTTTCGTCTCCACCCTCCTCCCCCACCGCTGCCGGACGGCGCCGCCAGGGCAAAGCCCTTGATGGCTTTGGTGGCAGCGGGTGCTCGTGCCTCGCCTGGGCCCGACGCCCCCTCACTTTTCCCTCAGTCGCGGCTCACGTCCCGGCGTCCTCATCGCGCCTCGTCCCCGGTTCGTTGGGTGCTGCTGCCGACGTGCGGCGACGCCCTGCCAAATCCCCTGCTTTGGGTACGCAGCCGGCGGGAGGCCTCCTGGCTGCTGCTCCTTTGGTGGCTGGCGGACAGGTCGGGTAGACCTCGTACCAGATCTGGTGCATGTTGGTGCTCTGCCCTCTGGTGTAGATCCGCTGCTATTGCCTTTCTGTAGAGCACCTAGGGTGGCTGGAGACATTTGGAGCGGCCAGTGGTGCCAGTGTGCCGCTACATGGGCTGGCTGGTGGCTGGCCCTTGGCTTTGGCAAGTTCGGTTGGGGGCATGGCGTGGCATGCTGGGGTGGCCGGGGGCCCTTTGGATGTGAAAGAGGTGCCTTTCCATCACCGTCTGGTGGTTGATTCCCTTGCCGGCGTGCTACTGATGGTGGTGCGGGGATGCGAGCACTTGGATGCCAGGGTGGCGACCCGGGAAGGTGGACTGCTTGTTTGGCTTTGTGGCGGGCGGCATTACAGTGGTGGTGGCTTCTCTCTGTGGCTGTGTGGATGGCGTGGAGTGGGGCGGCGGGGGATCCTGATGATGGCGGTGCTTCGGCAGTGACGTCTCCTGATCATGATGTGGAGGCTTGATTTGGTGTTCGCGGGCTTGTTTACTAGGGCACCTCGATGTGGCGTGGGTGAGACTCTGGGCAAAAGCTCAGCGCTTCAGCGCCGCCGCCGCCGATGCCTGTGGGTGTCATGTCC